TTTCAACACTGTTGCCCTGTCCCACCCTACTGTGTAAGTGATTGTGTGTCATCGCATGCACAGCTATAGCCAGCCAAGCTTTTCTCTACATTTCTTATCTTATTAGGATAGGATCTACTAATCTTGATTTGGTTAAGTGTTTGTGCTGTGTTATTCTAATCGACCCTGACTAGTCGACTACATTGACTCATCTATGTAGTTGACCTCTCAATCATTGCAAGGGATTTGGTGAACCAGATTGTTTTGCTTAATTCCATCGATAGGATCTTTTAACATGCATAGCTTGTGTCTAAGCAAGTTTATTGGTTTAACTGCCAGCCACTTTAATCCCAGTCAGCCTTATTGAGAATTCTTCGTAATACTTCTCAGGTGCCTGCCTTCCTTGTATGGTAGAAGCTTTGAATTCTCTCTTAACCCTGTCACCATTATTACCATTAGTAGTAGTGGGATTGTTATAAATAACACGTGTATTACTACTACTACTACTACTACTACTACTACTACTACTACTACTACTACTACTACTACTACTACTACTACTACTACTACTACTGCCACTGTTAATATTTTTCTTTCGATTTCTTATGAATTTATTTATAAATTTTACTGGGTAATTATTGAGACGTAGGGTATTCTTGATGTGCCGAATTTCCTGTGGTAGATTTTGCGATCTACTAGTAAGCTTTTTCTCTCTATCACTTAAGCATTTAACTGACCCAACTTTAACTGAAATGGGGTGGGATGATTCGAAGTTTAAGTAGCGATTCGAATGGAAAGGTTTCCCATAGATGACACTAGTCTCTAGATTTCCTTCTTGTATTCGTTTAATCTTCCAATCCAACATTGCTAGCTCATCTTCTTCACTTTCTAAGTCACCGGTAAATTGAACTGCATTTACTACTGAATTTATATGTGCAAAGAACCTACTGACATGTTCCGATTTCAGTACTGTAAACGTATTATCTATATATCAGAATCATTTATTTGAAGTAGGAGTAAATGTTTGAAGAGCCACGTGTTCCCAACTAATATCAATATGGACAATAATTTGTATCCGAAACGTTATCCAGTAAATGCTACTGTCCCTTCACTGTGTGTTATTTCTAATAAACAGACTAAAATGGAATTACAATCGACCACAGTGCCCAAGTTTTACTCTTATATCAATCTACCTAAATGGCTTCAAAAATAAATGGGGTGTGAAGCAATGATAAACCATGAAAGCAGACGACCCTCTTCATCTATAGCTAAACAAACATGTCATAATATCAATGTTGAAACAGCTTTCACAGCTTTATACAGAAGCAATCAATAAGGTATGTAAACTGAGATTTGCAGAAGCCATAGGGATACACAAATGTAAACCATCTGTGTATGTACAAAAATAATTTGTTCCTACACTACACTTCCCTATTGGTAAGCTTTATTTTCTTACCAAGATTAGGATCGACTATTTCACTTCTCTATTTTCGTTCTCATCTTTCTTAATTTTAACCCCCCTATTGTGTTAATTGTTGTACTTGTCCTCTCACTCCTCAGTTTAAGATAAATTGACTTGATAAATAAATATGTGATCAGATTGTTCGAAATGTGTATTGCGTAAATACACATGATACATTGTTCAAATAAACTTCATCTTCTAATTACACTATAGAAATTCATAAAAAGGGACTAAATGTTTCAAAAATGTAATTACATCAATCAGACAAGAGTTAGAGTTGAAAACTCGAGATGTACTCAGCAATCAACTATATATGCCTCCGTGGCATCTGAAGCGATGTGTACAAGGTTGAAGTCTCTCTAGGGTAACAACATCACTCACTGAGGTGCAGGTACATCCAGCTGACGAGTCTTAAATAGGATAGAAAACATGTCCTGAGTTCTTCTGCTAGCCACAACCAAACAAATTACCATAATCAATGCATGTCCGTGACCTATTGGATTAAATTTCGACTACTCAAACTAATGAACCATAGTCTGGCATATGAATTGGCTGTTCTTTAAGGAATAAATCATCAATGAAACTAATACATTCTTACAAAAAATCAATCGCGGCTAGATGTCATAAGTTCGGACTTCCGAGGGGACATCAGTTCACTCGACGTTCTAGATAAGCATTGCTAATGCTTGTCTTCTGTTTGCCTCGAACCAACTAACATAAAGTAGTATTGAAGTAGTAGTTATATCTTACAGGTTATTTAAATCGGCCAAGAATAAAAACAATGTTCACCAAGTGCAATAGCACAGAACTTCTACAGAAAATCAAACAGAACACCTTAGTCTATATGAAGAATGAAATCGCTTAAGATTCACAGTCTCTAATTATATTCAGAAAATAAAATGTTTGGGCTAAGATGTAGTATGAATAAGATGCACTTCTTGTGAAATCAAAGTTTTGAGAAAGATGAACATCCACCCTCCTAGGAACCCAGTAGAACTGAAGACACTTCAGCCATAGCTGTCTACACACATTATAATTTTATACCACAGGGTAGATTTGTACAATTTTGTGATTATTTGTAGATTCTAAGGAATGTCACATTGCAGAGTCTCTTCACATCCAATCCAATCAAAATTGTCTAAGTAGAAATGGGAGAAAAAACGAAACTTAGCTTGATTTAGTCTAAGTCATATCTAACACACTGACATATTCATTATACTTGAGATAGAGAATAAGATTATTTGCGGAAATCTAAGCGTCAGTCTGTAAAGTATACACACTCGCACGCCCTCACACATACACCTCATCCGTCTATCCAAAACAACACTGAACCAGACACTACTGCATAACAGTCCGAAGTGCCACAGCTCATATCAGTACATCAAGAAAAAAGGCAATTGCAACGCTACGCATCATCATAGAACAGAGCATAGAATGCCAGTCAACACTCTACCTCAACTTCAACGATTTTGAAAAGGCCTTTGACAGCGTCGACCAAGAAGTAATTTGACAGGAAACTGCTTCAACACTACGGTTTTAGTGGCACAAACCCTTATCGACCTCAGTTAACAACAGCTGTATGTTATGTGATGCTGCATGCCAAGTGATTGATATTGAAAGGCTGAGTGACGGCTTCGAAGTGAAGACAGGAAGGAGTAAGACAATGGTTGCCGCCTACTAACACCGATAATCTTCCTGACTGTGGTCGAATGGACTGGACTGAATCATGCAAGAAACAACTGTGAGGAGCTGTGAGAAGATAGGCATACGCTGCTTGACCGATGAAAAGATAAAAACCCTAGACGATTTGGATTTTCTCCATGATGACTTATGTCTAATGTCTTATGTCGCATAAACACGAAGATCTACAGGTGAAGACTAACAAGTTATCAGAAGAGACATCGAAGATGAGACTTCATTCAGGTGAACGTAGAGAAGACAGAGGTGATGAAGATACCCAACCAACAACAACAAGAAGCATCAATAACCATCAAAGGCAGAAATATAAGGGAAGTTGTCTCTTTCAAATACCCAACCTACCTAGGCAGCATCCTTCCAACTACACACGGCACACGCACACATGAGGATGTCAAAGCCAGTCAGGATCAGAAAGACAACGAGACAAGCCTTCCTCCATTAATCTGAAATCAGTGTGGAGATCTACTGCACTACACTACACTACACTACACTACACTGTACTACACTCAGCATCAAGCATGAACAACATCCCGATTTTCAACAGTAATGTCAGTCAAGTCAGTGCTTCTATGTGATGGTGGAGAGACTTGGCGCGTTACAAAAAAACATATCCAACAAACGACAGATATACAAGAACAGCTGCCGCCTACGCTCACTCCATATTGAAGATAAGATGGCCAGAATGGTAAGAATAAGAAACAAGGAACTCACTCTGGCCTGGCAACGAACCAACCAACCAATCAAGAACCCATCACGCAACAAATATGAAGAAGAAGAAGAAGGTGGAGATGGATTGGATTGGATTTCGGGCACACACTGAAAAAACGGTTTGGGGACATCACGTGCCACGCCGTCGAGTGGAATCTGCATGGGAAAAGATGAGTTGGGCGTCCGAGGGTGAGATGGAGGAGATCACGTGAGGAAGAAATGAAAGGTTATGGGTTTTTGTGGAGCCAGGTTGGAGAGACTGGATAGGAGTTAGTGAAATGGCTATGTGCTAGTTAAGCCCAATGTTCCACTAGGAACCCAAGGGATAAATAATAATAAGTAGAAAGGCAGTGAAGTAGAAGACGAAGAAAAGAAAATATAGTCAAAAGAAATATAAAATACTGAATGGAGAGAAAGGAAGGATGAGAAAATGATGAGATTAAGTATAATGGTTAAGATGAGGATGATGTGTGTATACATCTGCGCCACTCACATCGGTTCTGACCCCTATCGCCTAAAGTCAGTCTGCAACTACTGGTTCCTCTTGTCCCACGGACCCCAACCACTCAGTCTGCATCACCTCACATGGTTCAAACCAACAGTCAAGACTTCATACATTGATGTCATGTTTTAGTCTGGCCGGCCAATATTGTGTGTCGAGATGATCACTGAATTGACACACGTATCATATGTCCCAACCATCTCAGTCGATGAAGGTTCAAAACATCTCATATATTCCTTTACATTTTTCACCGATTGACAAGGCATAATTACTCATATAGAAGAATTTCAATCGAGTTGCTATGCATAAGCTTAGAAATCGTGACAGTGATTAAACTATCCTCCTGATTTCATAATATCTACAGTACATAACCATTAGTGTATTTGAAGGAGAGGCTAAAAACTTAGTCGTCATCACAAATGAAGTATTTATCAAGTTACTTAAAGTCATACAGGGGACAATTGATCTACAGCTAACAAGCAAAATAAATGTGCCAGTAAAGTTTTTGTTGATTGCATCAACCTTGTATCAATATAATACAAAAGATCAGATTGTAGACTGAACTTTGCAAAACGAACAGCTTGATTAGCGTTACAGTAAGTCTTAAAAAAATATACTTCATAAAGCATAAACCTTTTTTTTAAAACTCACTTCACTTTCTTCTATTCTCCATTCTGTTTTAGACGTATAGTTCTTTTACCTGACCCAACATGATGTTCATTTCTTCCTTTTGAACGTGAATTTAACATGTCTATAATATTAAACCCGACAAGAAGATAAGTGACAATACAAAAAACAACGGCAGTTATAATAATAATAATAATAATAATTCCAAATTGTTATTCATTGTAGACTGACATCAGATAGAGGATCAAAGGAAACCTCGGAGAACTGGACAACTATTTCGTCCTAGTATGGGACTGACTCCTCACCAGTGCGCACACACTACCCCAACCTCCACAGATCGAACTCGCGACCTTCAGGTTGTGTGGCCAGCGCGTCACCATTGAGCTAGCCACTGGGTCATAATCCAATTGTCCATATTTCCAACTTCTGTTAGCTCGCGATATATACTTCCGAGGTCCCAATGAGTAGACATGACTAATGGGGGCAAAGCTTGATGGTCATGAGGACAGTTACTCAAAGATCACATTCAATGGTGGTTGCGCTATATCGTGAGCTAACACAAGTTGAAATATGGACGATTGGATTGTGATCCAGTGGTTAGCTCAATGGTAACGTGTTGGCCACACAACCTGAAGGTGGTGGGTTCGATCTGTGGAGGGTGAGGTCATGGGTGCGAACTGGTGAGGAGTCAGTCCCATACTAGTTTGACGAAACAGCTATCCAGTGCTCCCGAGTTTCCTTTGTTCCTCCAACTGATGTCAGTCTACAATGAATAACAACTTGAAATCTTTCCAAATCCCCACAACTCCTTCAAATGATAATAATTACTTTATTCCAAACAGCATGTACGATACAGTATGGAATATTCTAATAAAATTGATTTTCGTACATTTTTCAGAAATTAACACAAAATGAAGTATAACTTTGATGATGAGATTTCAGTTCAGTCATCCAGCACGTTAATTTAAAATCTTCCATATAAGTATGCTAAGAATGTTAATGTAGCGCATTATTGATCTGTTTTACATATTTATTTCCAATTAGTGGAATTTTTTTTCCCTCCTTCGTTTTGTTCTTAGTTTAAAAAATGTAAGTTGGGAAACATTTTCAAAATTGTACAATAGTACATGATTATTGGTTCAAAAGATATTCAAGAGATTAAAATAGACTGAGAAGGAGAAGAATTTAATGGAATATAATCGGTGGAAAGTTTTTTTCTTTTGATAGCCCAAGATTTAAATATTGAACATTTGTTGTTAGTTGGTTGGAGGCAATCGGCAAGAAGCCCTGGACCTAGGCACTTGTCAGCAAGGCGTATCTGCATCCTCGACGAAACTGATGTCCTGTCTGAGATTTGAACCCTGCGTCACCCAGTGTTGTATTCAGTTACTTTACCACTGAGCTATTCGGGTGGCGGTTCACCCGCTGTAGAACTGGCTTACATCTACTGATTGGTCACAGGATTGCAACCAATTTCATGTTGTCTAGTCCTGAGTACAGACCGAATACTATCTATCCTATTTGCAATATGGCAACCAAGATAGAAAGCTCAGCATCGCGGTGAACATTAGTAGATGTTTAACATTTTCTTAAATATGTTTATGACTGAAACCACAGTTAAATATCACTTCAGTATACTTGATATTTGAGTTTAATTGAAAAAAAAAACTGAGTTGGAAACCGTATACCGAATAAACTGGGAAGTGATCATTTGAATGGATCTAATTCAAATCTTTGATCTCTAATCATCTTATATAGTAGTGGGTGGGACTTCCGCTTGGATGAAGACATGTTACACTTGAGTCAAATGAAATAAATTGTTATTGAAGAAGTAATAATCTCTTTTCATTTTACCCACTAATAATAAATTGTGAATATTCACTAATGATCGATAGTGGTTAGCAGTGAAATCAAGCTAGACGCGATTTTCATCCTACTCGGGACTCATCAGCTGGATTTACCTGTCTCTCAGTGAGCAATGTTGTTGTCACTAGTAGTCGAAGTTACCAACGATCACTTTAAACGACATAGCATTATCCACTAGATCACCGAGTCATGATAGACACTTCTTGTACCATGGGTACAGGTTTAATGTTATTGCTTGTATTATCCTGTCGATCAGTTTCTATTGGCATGTTGGCCTCTGAGTACGATTATTTTAAACTTTCGTACTTTTGGGGCCGGATGGTCGGAAGGAAAAGACAAATGAACCAACACCACAGGCCCGGCAGAACGTGAGGTATGGTGGAGTGCGTTATTTTTGGGGCCAACATTTTCTAACCCCCCCCCTTCCACTGGGAAGGCAGCATCAGTATGGCACTGCTGGTCGTCCAAGGGAAACACCTTATTGCTGTCACACCCCATGTAGCTGACAGCGGTACGACTCCGCCCTCAGATCCCCACCATAGTATAGTAATTTACACCACAACGGTAACTGCTTTTCGTCTAACTACTATCCAACAGACCTTTCTGGTATGGTAGGACCTCGAGGGAACAAGTGTTCCAACAGTATAGCTGGTTGGGTCATTGTGATATGCAAGCCCGACCACCACGTCAAGGTAGCAGCTATCGGCTGGATACGTACTACGTATGCCTGGTCACCGATTGCCCCGTCACACAATGTTGGCCGAAGTAGGTCCCGGCTGGATAAAGGCTTGAGGTGGCCAGACTAAAACATGGCATCAATGTATGAAGTCTCTGATTGTTGGTTTGAGCCATGTGCCGCGATGCTGACTAGGTGGTTGGGGTTGGTGGGACAAGAGGAACCAGTGGTTGAAGACTCTAGGGGATATGGATCTGAACCGATGTGAGTGGCGAAGATGTAGACACACACTATCCTCATCTTAGCGCCATACCGATTCTTACAATTTGTCATTCTTCCTTTCTTTATTCTCGTACTTTACATTTCTTTTGACTGCATTCTCTTATCTTCATCCTTTACCTCACTACCTTTCTACTTGATGTACTGATATGAAGTGTGGCCAGTTTGACCGTTACGCAGTAATACATGGTCCCATGTTGATGATAGCACTTTGGCTCCTGTGTACATTTGTCGATATTGCCTGTAATTTCAGTTTTCATGGATAATGGCTGATAGTGGAATCCTAGCAGCAACATATAAATATTTACTGAGGTATAGAAAGCCTTAAAAAAATTTGAAATGTCAATTTACAGGTTTATAGGATCATGCAATAAACAGTGAGGAGCGAGAAGAGGGGTATACGCTGTTTGAACGGAGAAAACATACTAGAAGATTTGGATTTCCCCAATGATGACTTATGTCTAGTGTCACACAAACTCGAAGATCCACAAGCAAAAACTAACAAGTTGATAGGAGAGGCAGGGCAGCAAAGACGGCACTTCTTCAAAGTGAACGTAGAGAAGACAGAGGTGATCAAGATATCCAACCAATGTCACCACCACCACCACCAACAACAACAACAACAAGCTCCAATCATCGTTAACAGGTGAAACTTAAAGGAAATATTCTCTTTCACCTATCTAAACAGCATCTTTTCAACTACAGAGGGTGGCGGTAGCGGTGGTGGCGGCACAAACGAAAACGTCAAAGCCAGCAAGTATACGAAATACAACAAGACAGGCCTTCCAGTGTGGAGATCTCCACTCAACTCAGCATAAAGCGTCAACAACATCCCGATTTTCAACACCAATTCAGTCAAGTCTGTGTTGCTATCTGGTGGTTCACAGACTTGGCATGTTACGAAAAGCATTTCCAACAAACCACAGATATTCATCAACAACTGCCACCTACACTGCCTCGTTACTGAAGCTCAGATGTTCAGAATAATAAGAATAAGCAAGAAGGAACTCTGGCTGGCTGGCTGGCTGGATGGATGGATGGATGGATGGATGGATGGATGGTTAGCCATGAACCAATGAAGCAAGAACCTATCGCTCAATAAATATGCATTGGAAGGAAGTGGAGATGGATTGCATTGGGCATGCACTGACAAGACCGTTTGGAGACATGATGCCTCAGACCAGGCACTCGAGTGGAACCCAGAGGGGAAACGACGAGTTGGGCGTTGGAGGTGAGGGTGAGGGTGACATGGAGGAGGTGGTGTGAGGAAGAAATGAGAGTTTGTGGGCAGTGGTGGAGGCAGTTTGAAAAGATTTCAGAGAACAGAGTTTAATGGAGACGTGCTACTGAATCCCTATGTTCCATTAGGAACCCACAGCACAAATAATATAATAATAATGATACTATAAGTTATTTATACTTGCCATGTCATTACTAAAGTCAATTAAACATATTATGAATGCTTCCAGATGGATATCAGGAAACTCTAATGAGAAGCTATGACCTGTGTGGTCAACCAGTCGGATGTAAATTAGATGCTAACTGAATATCTTGGGTATCGTGTTCTGTTCATACGAGGAATAAATGATAGCTTGTGGGCTATCATGGAGCCAAGTTCAAAAAATTTCAGAGAACAGAGTGGAAAGCCCTTCAAAAGATGTAAAACATTTTTGCTGTATAATTAAAAGTTAAATATTAGAGTTTTTTTTTAATTTTCTGTATTGTTTTCTTTGTATTACTTGAACAATAAGTCAAATATGGAATCTTAATTTCTTAACTTAGCAGCAGAAAGTATTCATTAAATAATGAAACTCAATTAGAGTAATAGAAACTTCCACAATAGACATATATATATGTACCTTTCCCCAATGATGACTAGTATCTAGTGTCGCACAAACTCGAAGATCTACAAGCAAAAACTAACAAGTTGACAGAAGAGACAGGGCAGCAAAGACGGCACTTCTTCAAAGTGAACGTAGAGAAGACAGAGGTGATGAAGATATCCAACCAATGTCACCACCACCACCACCAACAACAAGCTCCAATCATCGCTAACGAGTGAAACTAAAAGGAAGTAGTCTCTTTCACCTATCCAGACAGCATCGTTTCAACTACAGACGGTGGCGGTGGCACAAACGAGAATGTCAAAGCCAGCAAGCATCCGAAATACAGCAAGACGGACCTTCGTTCATTAGTCTGAAACCAGTGTGGAGATCTTCTACACTCAACTCAGCATTAAGCGTTAATAACATCCCGATTTTCAGCACCAATTCAGTCAAGTCTGTGCTGCTATGTGATGGTTC